CCACCACCACCATACGGCGACAGGTTGGCGAGTATGCGGTACCCGCCACTTCCGCCGCGGTACGCGGCATCGTCGCAGTAGGTCGGCGATGACGAGAACGACGACGACGAGGCCAACGATGACGACGAGGGCAGGAGGGCGCGCCAGCCCATCTACATAATAGTGATTCCGCGCTAGGATGTAATATGTGTAGTGTGTAATGTAGAATAGAGCCGCGGAAAGCAAATAAAAATATACATAAATAGAAAAAAGCAAAATAAAATAAATAGCTAAATAGATAAATAGATGTTGTTTACGATACGATCGCTGACCGGACGATCACCGACCGTCAGACTGCGCAGCGGTTTCTGGAAATGGGTTGATAAGGTGTGCATGGGCATACCTGCGCGCTACACGCGGATTTTCTTAACATTGGGGTCTAGTGTGCTGCTAGCATTTCGCGCAATATTGTACATAACTTTTGACTTGCACGCGATATGTATTGGCAAGTAGCGCGTTATATATCGGTTTCTAGCGGCATTTAAATGGGAAGGTAGCAACGGCATTCGTTCGAGACTGCCAGTCGAGTTTCTTGCGTTCGGTATAGCGGAGCTGCGCGTCTTTGGCTACGTCACCAATCGATTGTCTCCACAGGCAAAATTTGGGTCCCCATCGATGACAGCCAGGAGGCTGCGATGTGACGACGGTTGCATCGTCTGAAGGGGGAGGGTGGAATGTAAGCGGGCAGATTGCAGATGCCACGAGAGAGCGATAGCGATGCGGGGAAATGCAATCTTGGCGCCACAGTGTCGAGAGGGTTTTCACAACATGCTGAGAATGGACGCTACGCGAGCCAGTCGAGCATGTACGAGAATAAGCAATGGTCGAGCGCGGAGCTAAGGTTGCCCCGGGCATTGCGCATGTGACAACCTAGACGCTGACCAGATGACCAATGACATCAGGGCAGAAATGGGATCATGGAATTCGGCCGAGTACGAAGCCGAGGCGAAGACATTCATCTCCGTAGCATTCGCTATGGGTAATACAGAAGGTATAGGACTGCATTCCCGTATTTAGTATGTCCAGTTGGCCGGAGGAAGCGGAGAAGGGAGCTATAACGAGAGGTGACGTAGGAAAAGGGCGCGGCGTCTATAAGGTGGAAGCCATCGCTTCTCGAGGCTCTTGTTAGAAGACACTGATCGAGAAAGGTGTAAGTGCCTGATACGGTTGCTATGTAATGAACGGTCTTGCTAGTCTGTAGTACATTGAGATTTCATGTTGTATGATGTAGTAAAACACTACTGAACGCTACTTCTTGTCTTGTCTTGTCTTTACTTGTCTCTAGTCTATTACAGAACCTCTTAAAAAGGTAGCGCGAATCACGTGTCTACAATATGCTATATTTTACTTTTTTACTTGTACTTTTACTTTATTTATAATTATATATGTATATAGCCATAACTATAATTATATTTGGGAGTTTACAGTTGGGGGTTTAGAGATTGGGAGTCAATATGCGAGGAGTTTAAGGTGAGGAGTTTAAGGTAGAGTGTAGCCGTTAGGAGTTTAAAGTGAGGCGTTTAAGGTGAGGAGTTTAAGGTAGAGTGTAGCCGTTAGGAGTTTAAAGTGAGGCGTTTAAGGTGAGGAGTTTAAGGTAGAGTGTAGCCGTTAGGAGTTTAAAGTGAGGCGTTTAAGGTGAGGAGTTTAAGGTAGAGTGTAGCCGTTAGGAGTTTAAAGTGAGGCGTTTAAGGTGAGGAG